GAACCCATGCAGTATAACCAAATTCAAAAGACCTATATATATTCAATGACATATAACACATTTGTCTTTATAGCCAAAACAGACAGGGGATCAAAGGATCTATAATGGAGTAGCAGTAGGAATCCTGTTACAGGAATATACGGCGCTACCTTGAAGAACGCTTTTTGGAGAAAAGCCGACATTCGGAGATATGTTATTAGCCACAGTGACTTTGTTTACACTCTTGCAACTTCTATTGATGGTACTACCATCACTAACAGAGAGTTTCTCTTCACATTTCTCAATTCTGATCCTTTTGGAATCATTTTCGCTGTAGTTCTTGATTGCAGTGATGGTACTAGTTGAGGCATTGCCGGAAATGGAGTCTCGGTTGCCACATACATTGTCGCTCCCTATAGCAGCGATAGCAGGGGTCTCATGGCCTGTGCTGGTATTACGGGAAGACCGGTTCATGTATTGAGAACATACAGGTGCTGAAAGGGTTTTCAAGTTTTTCAACAATTTGATTGAAATTTCCGACGATGTTGAGTTGGGCAAAGCAGTTTGAGTTGTTTCCACAGGCTTTCTTGAACGCCGACAGCCCCTATGCATGTGCTGCAAACAATACTTTTGATGAGGGATCACATCCTTACTGCACCGCCATTTCTTCCCGTCAGTTCTACGGCACCTCCCCGGCTCGGGATCCACCATGTTCCGATAATCAAATGCTTGAGGACTCACTCCTACAACTGAGAACAAACAAGAGTAATTTGCATTCCTCATGTAAAATTCACATTACCGAAATCAGATCATGTCATTAAAAGTAAAACTGTACAGCTCCCCTAACTAATTAAATTGGAAGATAATGCTATGCTCAAACAACAATAACTAATAGATAAAAAATAAATAAAACTCTCACCCTCTTACATCTTAGTTCTTACCAATCAAAACTTAGAGGAATATAAGGGAAAATGGGGGGGGGGATCTGCATGAAAATTTCTCTGACGAATTCATGAAGCAAAATGAAAACAGAAAACAAATTCAAAAGGACGAATCTAGGCAAGAGAAAAGTTAAAAAAAATGACAGCTTACAGCTGGGATACCGATGATAGACACCGACGGCAGCAGAGGCAACGGAGGAGGCGACTCTTTTCCAAATGGGTATAACAAGGCTGACGGGAACTTGGATTCCACCCGCTATGTATTTGAAGATGAGCGTTTGCAGTTGCAGCTCGTGCAACTGAGTTGTCGTAAACACACACACTTCCCGTGTTTCCTCAGAGGTGTCACTTTCTCCGACATTTTCCTATCAATCCCCAGTCCCAGCTTGATCGACGGTGATCCTTCCTTCTCCTCCTCTTCTTCCATCTCCACCGTCCTCTTCCCCTCCAACCACTCTCGGGCCCCACTCCCACCACCACCTAAAATCATCAACATAAAATTAATTAACCAGTAGCGCACTCACACACACTATATACACACACACACACACAAAATAACAGAACCTGGGTGAACTCGGCTTTGAACCGGCTGGACATCCATTGACGACAGAAACAAAGATTAAAAAATGGTTTGAAAATTTTCAAAAGATGAAACTTCAACTTAAAAACATGATCATCACCGGTTCTACGAAAGGCAGACAGCGACGAGTGTGACATAAAGTCGACGTTAAAACGCGTGTCAGGATTCTGACAGTATCAGTCTTCGCAGTCACTGCAGGCAAATTCAGGGTTTTTTTGTTCATCATCATTTTTTTTTTGTTTACATGGTTCATGAAAGGGTAAAAGCTCACGCTTTAAAATTGGCGTTTGAAATGGACGTCCCAATGAAAGGGTGAAAGGTGGTGCTGACGTGCTGTTGCAGGATGGCAATGTGGTCGGTTGTTTGCCACGCGCATTGTCGGATTAATTTGCCTGCCACTACCGATGGGGCATAGGAGGACACGTCACTGGATTAAGTTATAGTGCGTCCTACTTTAAGTAAGGGAAAAGTGGGCCCCGGTTCTGCATGTCAGCTGTGACAGCGTACAGGTGAAAGTGCCACCAGGTAAGTGTCGACGTGTCATTTATTTATGTAGTTTAGTGTTGTCATTGGGCTTAGGCTTCTGATTTGGGGATCCTGTACTGGATTTTGGTTCCAATTTTAGGGCTTGATGATTTTGGGCTTGGCTTAGATTAGAGGTCGTGTACTCATTGTTTACTTTATAGTGCGTTTGGTTCACCGAATGTAAGATTATCAGTGGGAATAAAAGATTATCAGGGAATATGATTATTGGGAATGTTATATTTTGTGTTTGGTTGGTTTAGCATGAATGTAAGATTACCGTGTTTGATTAAAGGAATAAAAGATTATTGAATGTATATTTGACCAAATTGTCCTTATTATATATTTGTATAATATTACAAATTGTAAAATATTTATATATTTTCTTAAAAAATTAAATTCATAATATTTATATAATTTTATTTACAAAATTAAAAATATAAAAAAGGTTTAATGGAAGGGTAAAAAAAATTTTAACCCCTGAACTTCATATAAAATTTTAATTATAGATTTTTTTTGTAAATCTAAAATAATTTAAGGATAAATTTGTAATTTAACATTCGTATAATTTTTATTATTCAATGACATAAGAAGGATATTTTTGAAAAAAATAATTTAAGGACATTTTAGTTCAAAACGTCAGTAATGTTACAATACCTAAGAATGGAGGTAATGACATTCCCGTAATATACCCAAAAAAATCTACTATTGGTAATAAAACATTACTGGAAATGAGATTCCCGGCCAATCAAACATGGGAATGTGGGATTCCCACACACCTTGAACCAAACACCCCTTAGATCTTGACAGTCATTGTGCATCTTATTAGATAAAAATTTATGTTCAATAAAAATGCCCTTTAATACCAAATTTTTACTCTTTAATATGAGTATAAGAGGGATATAACAGTATATTATGAATTATATTTGTTGTTAATATACTAAAAAAATTTATATTTACAAAATATGTTTGTTGTTAATATATAAATTATATATTCTTTATTTGTTTTTGGTATTCGCACGTACTAAACTAAAATTTAAACTAAGAAAATGAACATGAATACACTCACGTATGATACTTGCACATTAGAGCTAAAAAAATTGAGACATCAAACTTTATCAACTCCAACAATCCCTGCATCCTTTAATGGTTTAGGGATCTTACAAATTTTATTTTATATTGGATATAATCATTTATGGGGACAATAATAAAGTGGACCGACTATGTTATTCATTAAAATCTTAGTGGGGTACGTTCTCATTCTGTCACCTGCCATCCAATGGAAACCAAACCCTGTTTTATCTGTGTTTGCTGCCGACAATTTCATCCCCTCCCTCCAATTTTCTTGACTTACCCTAACAGATAACTTCCCTCTCCGGTGAATAAGCAAAGCCTGTGTTACTTCAACCTCTTTCTTATTCCTTTTCTTTATCTTTGTCAATCATCAGCAGCTCCCTGATTTGCTGTCAAAGGATTAAATATTGTAAATGAAGGAATATTCACTTTGTGGAAAGGAAGACAAAAGAAGAAAATGGGTTAAATCATCAACTTACAGTAAAAAATATTCATATGTGCATTGCTTCAAATTGAGGCATTAAAAAGATGCCCTTCTCATCATTGTGGCAAAGCAAGTTCATGCTACTGTTAAAATGGTTTTAAGCCAAAAAAAAAAAAAAAAAGGCAAGCGGTAGTTAAATGGTTCGAGAACCGACGGTTGCAGTCAGGTGATTGAACATTCATTGTCAAATGGTTGAGAGTATTTAGAACAGATGCTACTTGTAATCACCTTAACTTAATATTTTAATACATTCGGTGTTAATTGTGTTTATAAGTTAAAAACTGGAACTCACCACAATCGTATATCTCCACGTATATTGTTAACGCTAGTTTGATATTTGTAGGACACTTGAGGACCACACAAAGAAGACCAAAGGAGGAAAGGACGAAATGTTAAATAGCACAAATAGAAGCTTGAGAAGGTAATTTTACCCAAAATTCACACGATAATTATTTACTAAAGTAAAATATATTATCATTATTTACTGATCTAACATCTTTTTCTACCATACATACAAATGCACGTTTCGCAGGAAACGTCTTATACTGATGTGGCAGAAGATGTATTTTGCAAGAAAAATAAAATTATATGGATTTTATCTAAAAGAAATAAATGGGTGCGGTGCATGTCAAAGACATATAATTGTACAAGCATAAGCATGAGTCGATCAGACAGTGACGACGATGCACATATATGCTCCTTAATGATTAAACATAATGTTAATACACACGCATCATTATCGTTCAACTTAATTTATGTTTGTTCTAGTACTTGTGTAATTACGTGTCCTCGATACACATGTTTGGTTATTTTTTGACAATTTTCTTTTATTTCAATCCAATTTGACTGATACCATATATATATATATATATTTGTAAATAATGACTAATGGCTTTTATTTTGACAAAAAAATGTTTTATTGGTAAAAAGCCACTCGACAATATGAGACCGACGGGGATGTGGACTGTGGGAAGTGGTCAAGTAGCTTTATGGAAGGAGATGCTTTAGGGTGAACCCTCAAAGTTATTTGTGTCAATTATTCAAAGAAATACACTTGCTTAACTTACATTATTCAAATGTAAATTCATTATTTAATGCCGAGTAACAAAGACGAAAGCCAACCCAAGAGACGTGAGATTTAAGCGTATAACAGTTACAGAAAATCTCGTTTCACAAATCATAGGCAAAAACGGATGATAGCTTCAATAATGGTAAAAACTAAAAAGCCAAGTCCATCATCGTCGATTCAAGTAACAGAATCCTTTTATATTTTACCTTCCAGCTATGGCCTGAGCATGCTTGACGCATCCCACGTGGTCCCATCCTTTTTTCCATTCCTAAACCATAGTTAATTTCTAACCCTGATTAAAACCCTACCCTTCCCAAGTCCTTCCTTTTTAGCTCACTTCACTGACTAAGCTCTGCTACTCATCTCTCCTCAAAGTTCAGCAATGGCCGCCGCTTTTTGTCTGCTTAACTTTACCCTCTTCATTCTGTCTTTAGTTGCTGTTTCAATCAATGCCCACAATATAACAGCCATTCTCGAAGGTTTCCCAGATTACTCCTCGTACAATAGTTTCCTCTCCCAAACAAAACTCGCCGATGAAATCAACACCAGAGAGACAATCACTTGTCTTGTCCTCAACAATGGAGCTATGTCGGCCCTCACAGCCAAACACCCCTTGTCTGTCATCAAAAGCATCCTTAGCCTCCACGTTCTTCTAGATTACTACGACCCGCCAAAGCTCCACAAAATCTCTAAAGGCACTACCCTCACTACCACGCTTTATCAAACCACGGGAAATGCCCCCGGAAACCTTGGGTTCGTCAACATTACCGATCTCCAGGGTGGTAAAGTTGGTTTCGGCTCCGCCATTCCCGGCTCCAAACTCGACTCCTCTTACACCAAGTCTGTTAAGCAGATTCCTTATAATATCTCTATCCTTGAGATCAGTGCTCCGATTATTGCTCCGGGGATCTTATCGGCTCCGGCCCCGTCGGGTTCTGGTGTCAACATTACCGGTTTGCTTGAGAAAGCCGGCTGCAAGACTTTTGCTAGTTTGCTTGCCAGTAGTGGCGTGCTCAAGACTTACGAGTCTGCGATTGATAAAGGGTTGACCGTTTTCGCGCCGTCCGATGAAGCTTTCAAAGCTGAAGGTGTCCCTGATCTGAGCAAGCTCACCAATGCCGAACAAGTTTCGCTTCTGGAATATCACGCCACGCCGGATTACAAACCCAAGGGCACTTTGAAGACCACGAAAAACCCCATCACCACAATGGCGACTAACGGCGCTGGGAAGTTCGAACTGACGGTTACCAACGCCGGAGACGACGTCACGCTACATACAGGGGTTGATCCATCCAGAGTGGCCGAAGCGGTGTTTGACTCACCGCCGGTCGTCATTTTCACCGTCGACAACGTTTTGCTTCCAACTGAGTTATTCGGTAAGTCACCCTCTCCGGCACCCGCCCCTGAGCCAGTTTCATCGCCTTCACCGACACCAAGTCCATCTCCATCGTCTGAGGCTCCGTCACCGCTTGCCGCGTCACCACCGGCTCCACCAAGCGACACACCCGCCGGATCTCCGGCCGATGCGCCAGCTGGATCGTCGGAGAACAGCACATCAAATAAAGGTGCCGGTCACGTGACTACAGCTCCTCTTTCCGTCAGTATTGTTTTCACAGTCTTTGCCACGGTCGTCTCTTCAGTTTTCTTGTCCTGATTCGTAGTTATGGCCATCTGTGTTAATTTGTTCTCTTCTTTTCCTTGTGAGACATTATTTTGATTAGAGTGTCTTTGTTGAACGACTATTTCTTTTTGTTTTCTGGGTAATTTATTTATTTATCGTGAAATGAAAATCTTATATAAGAAAAATGGTTGGGAAGTGTGACGTGGATGAGGAAAGTGCTTGTACTTGTGGATGCAAATGGGGGAGTTGCGAGTGGTCCTGTTCCCTCTCGAATATCTGTGTTGATAAAAAGTCATGAGCCCAAGCTCTTTCCTTTTTTGTTTGCCAATTGATTTCAAATGAAAAATCTTCTAGGTAGTTTTATATAATTATACGCACAGTAATTTTTTACCCAACTATATATATGATTTTTTTTAATCTAATATGTTATGTATATAAAAACAAGTTAATTTTTTTTGGTAAACAAAAGTTCATGGTTCCAGTCCAGTGTTATGCATACCTAAGATCCAATTGAAATTATATAAGAATTTGTAGATTACACACCAAGAATGATGATGGTATAATTCAAATTTTCCTTACAAACTCAATTTTTTTAATCACAATCACTTGTACCAACACTAGTTGGTTATTAAAAAAAGTTAATGTCAACTCTATAAAATGGAATATTGTACTTTATAGAGGATTAAGCTTGAGTTTTGAGTTATTGAGATGTGTATTGTCAATAATTTTAAAAAGATTTTAAACATATATTATCTCATAATCATTTCATATTATTAAAAAAATAATTTCCATACTTTAAGGATTTAATTAAAATATTTTAAAATTTCAAGACTATTTAAAATTTAAATCATAATTTGAGAATCGACAACAAATTAACCCAAAACAATGGTTACTCTTAAGCCTCTAGGACCGTAACCTTTGACACGAGACCTCCGACTTGCAAGTCCAACTATGAACTACCGTTACCTTTTGGCTGCTAATCATCGCTATGACGAATTTATTGTCCACGTGGGAGTACATTATTGGTTAAAATTAAGATGATTCTCAAATAATCAGACTAATCCCGTGTATCAAAGAAGTCAGTTAGGGCATCAAAATCCCCGCCATTTTCCTGTTCTGCGTACTTCCCTCACTCACCCAGAGTCTGCTCTCATCAATGGCCACAAACGAAGGAGAAAAACCACAGACTCCAATTTCTTCAAAGCCCAGTCCAAAACCCAAGGACATTGTGTCCCACTCGCCGCCGTCACAACCCAAGAAAAACGGCACCTCTCCGCCTTCTAAGGTGCCGTTGAGTCCCAAACAGTTCATCGTCTCAGCCGCGGGCAACATCTCCTCTCAGACTCTCCCGACCAACGATCCGAACGTTTGGGGCGTTCTCACCGCTATATCCAACACTGCCCGCAAACGCCAGCAGGTTTTCCCCTCCTTTTTAAACCCTACACCTTCTCGTTCCGTTTTTTTTTTTGTATATTTTCAACTTTTATTTGCATCATATGATTTGCATTGTCTGACTGATTGAACATAAATGTAAAATTGCTTAAGGAATAAGGGAAAGAAAAAAGATCGAAAGAAACGATCAGGGTGGAAATTGCAATATGCAATTTAAGTGAAAGGCTAATGAGGTCATTTTCCTCTAGGGTATGAATATGCTTTTGACTGCGGATGAGCATTGCATTGGTCGATTAGTAAAGGAAACAAGTTTTCGAATTGAATCGAATTCAGTGAGCGCGGTACATTGCAAGATATATAGGAAGAGAGTGACCAATGAAGATACACAGCAGCCGTCCAATTGTTTTACATCTGTTTTCTTGAAAGATACGAGGTTAATACGACTGTTTATGATTTCTTTTTTCGGGTTTACAGTATTTCTAAATTCTGATTGCTTTGTACTTCTTTTTGTAGCACAAATGGGACATATCTTAACTGGGAGAGGTTGAGAAAGAATAGTCCTGAATTTAAAATGCAACATGGAGACATCATTTCATTTTCTGCTCCTCCACAACATGGTAACACTAATACCTCTATTGTTCATGAGGTTTTCTCTTAGGTCACATAACTAGAATGTGATTGTTCTTTGTTTATTTCATTTCAAATGGGATTTGAAGCTTGCAATGCATTTCAAAGTCAGTAATTATCTTCCTGGTTACAGAGCATGCTTTTGCATTTGTATATCGAGAAGTTCTTAGCTCTGTTCGTGCAGCAGAAGGTGCATCCTCAAAAAGAAAAGCAGGTATATTCACTCAAAGTTATTTCCTTTTGTGTTTTGACTTCCATTTTATTTTCATTAGCTCTTTATTTTCTTTAAATTTTCCATAAAATTGATATAAACTTCACCGAGGAATAATTGTCATGACTGTTTTCAATTTTCAAACGATAATAAAAAAATTAACAGGTGTATGCTTAAATCTGTAAGTCTAGTAATGTTGATAACAAATTAATGGCTTGATTTAGACTCATTTTCATTGGTGCTCCTGAGGGTCCTATATCTCTTGATGATTTTCGGAGTCTTCAGCGGTCAAACAGGGTATCTGATTTCGGATTCGTCGGTTTTTGTCTGCTCAAACAATTAAGTTGTGTCACACGATAAATAATACTGTGAGTTGTTGAATGCAGGAACTCAGAAAGCAATTGGAAGATCAAGTGCTTACAATAGATGCATTACGTAATGAGAATCGCACAACTATTGAGCGTCATGAAAATGTATGCTCTTCTGATGGATATGAACTTTTTTCTAATTTATGTCTGTTTAGGTTCATTGAGTTGGTTTTGTGAGAAATTTTCTAATTGTTGGCAACTTTCTACTGGTTTAGCCAAAAGTGTATGTGTTGCTGGATACTATGGTTTCTGTTAATGAGTTAATTCCTGTTGATGAATTCCACTTTGATTTCACATTGTTATTGCTAACTTTGGTTATGCGTACATTTAATTGTCGTTAATAATCAGTTGGTTGCTACAAATCAGTTCATCCGGTTGTGACCTCTGAAGAAAAAAGTAATGTGCAACACGGTGTTAATGATATTTTATCGACTTCTTTCTAATTTTATGCTATTCATTGAAGCATATGTCACTTTTCTTGCTTTTAGCTAGTACCTCTTGTGATTCAGATCTATTTCTGCAGGCAATCAAAGAGATAAAAGAATCAGTTGCAAAGTCATACATTGATCAGCTCAATGAATTCCAAATTCTGTCGGATGTTAAGCAAAAAGAGCTTGTAGAAGTCAATAGGATATCAGCTGAACAAAAGCATGCTATAGAAGACCTGAATGAAAGACTTAGTGCTTCCATGCAGTCATGTAGTGAAGCAAATGAAAGAATTAAGAGGTAAGAAATGATGGCTTTATTAGATTTTGCCAATTTTTGGTACCAAAAAGATTTGTAGATATAATTTCCTAGTTTCATACTTTTAGTCTGAAGGCATCTATAGCTGAACTTAAGGTTCAGATAGACGAGGACCGAGACCAAAGGCGAGAAGAACAAGAAAAGGCTTCTGCTGATTTAAAGGCAGCAGTGCAAAGAGCTCAGCTTGAGGCTCTAGAGGAACTGCAACGACTATCAGATGTTTATTTAAAACGAGAAACAGAGCAAAAAGAAATAACGAATAAGCTTGAGGTGTGCATAATTTTCTTCTTGTGCTTGCTTAGATATCCTTCACGCGCAAATTATTTCTAAAGAATTGAGAAAACTGTTATGCATCTCCAATCTTAGGAATCACTGAGACAGAGCTCAGCACAAGTGGAAGATCTGGTGGCCAAGCTGGTAATGTCTGCAAGGCCGTCTGATTTTGAAGTTAAACACATGATTCCAGTATTCTATCTGAACTCTGCTAAACATATGATTCCTGTCTTCTGCAGGAAGACACGAGACAGAAATTGGTTAATTCTGAGGAATAAAGTTCGCCAACTGGAAAGCCAAGTTTGTGAAGAACAGAAGGCCTCCGGAAATACAAGAAAAGTACACTTTTTTTTTGTACCTTCTTATATATACAAGCATGTACAAATATATTCTGAATTTGACATTTAATGTGCATTTGAGCAGAAAGTGGAAGAACATGAACATGAAATGAAAGGATTGAGGAAAGAACTTGAGACTGAGAAGGTATAAATTTAAACTTTTCTTTGTTCTTTACTATGGATTTTATATTGTTTGCACTATTTCTCTGTTGTACAAGATTTCAATTATTTACTAATTTTTTCGATAACTTGCTATTAGTTTCATTAATCTGCATGCCAATCTGGATTATGCCAGCAGCTTTTGAAGGCATAAAAAGGAAAATGATTTTTTATTATTAAAATTATTTATCTGAACACACTACAATTGATTTGTTTAATCCTATCTAGTTTCACTCAGGGTACGACAAACCTCTGTTCTTCATCTTTATGATATTAGTCTATTGTTAAGTTGAAGTTTCCTTTGCGGTTGGTAGCAGGCGGCCAGAGAAGAAGCATGGGCTAAAGTTTCTGCCCTTGAGCTTGAAATAAATGCAGCAATGCGTGATCTTGATTACGAGAGAAGGAGGCTAAAAGGTGCCAGGGAAAGAATTATGCTTCGGTATGACTTCTATGACAATAGCTTGTTTTATTTTTTGCGGCGTTGGTGTATGCATTTTGCTGAGCAAGGTTCTATCCTTCTCTATATTGGGGCCTCTGGTGTTAGCAGTGGCTGCCGCCCCATACTTATGAATTTTCTCAATTAAGCATGGTGATGTTAATGTGGCTGCTTTGCAGAGAAACACAGCTACGAGCATTTTATTCTACAACTGAGGAAATCTCCGTTCTGTTTGCAAAGCAGCAGGAACAACTGAAGGCAATGCAAAGAACTCTGGAAGATGAGGACAATTATGAGAATACATCAATTGATATTGACCTTAATGTATCACTGAATCAGAACGTAAATGGAACCATAGTTAGAGAAAACGCTACTACTGGCCATCATGAGAATAGTACCACTAGGGGAGGCTACACTGCTTCAGCTCAGAAAGTTAACGGTTCTAGTGATGAAGCCAGTGTTACTGAGAAGCATGACTGTGGTATGAGAAGTCAAGATGTTGGTGAAAACACACAGGAGGTAGAATTTACAAGTGCTTATCGTTCTGTTAAAGGTGTCTTTGGCTCTGACATTGATGGTGTTTGTACAACACCTATTCTAGAAGGAGATACCATTGGAACTGAACGGGTTCTCGAAACTGAAAGCTTGGGAATCGAGGTTGAACCAAATATTGATCTGAACAGGTGTGAAACTCTAGGTGGAGATACAATGCAGTTTGAGTATGAAACTAATGCACATGAAAGTGATGAACGGATCCAAACAACTTGCCGAGATACTTTTGTACATTCTCAGTCGAATAGAACTCACGAGACTAAAATATCTAAAGACAGAAGCTGGAGACACTATCAGGACAGCTGACAATGGAAAGAATGAATCACCTAAAATTAGAGACAATGATAAGGATTGTGACATGGCTTTGTGTGGTTCTAATGGTCTGGTAGCTGAGAGTCAGAGTACATTTTCTGAGGGTGTTGCTCCTAGGCGTAATGATGAACGTCAAGCATTGACTGAGATGATTGGGATTGTTGCTCCTGATTTAAAGGAGAAATTCGTGGTTGCTGCTATTTCTGACTCGGATACTGAAGATTGTGCCGACAGCGAGGATGATAATTACAAAATAGTTGCAAAGTCTGGGTTAATGTCAGATGCAGAGACAGAGGGAAGCAACCAGACTAATATAGATCAAAAGCATAATGATCTAATGGACAACGACGAAGACGACGTCACGAAACTGCATGTGAAGATTCCCTCGGGTAGCAGCATGCCTATATGGGTATGAAACCATGTTCATATTGAACATTTTCACCTCCTTTTCATTTTCCAGTCCGTATGCCATTCATTTTACTGTACATTATTTAATGCTTAGTGTTTTAAGTAAATATGTATTTCAAAACTGCGTATATTGATCACTTCAATCTCTAATAATTTATTAAAGGTTTAATACGTATACATGAGTTTAGGAGTTCAGTATTATCATCACCGAAGGAGCTTTCATATGCCTGATCTCATGCCAGGCCTCCGTGCCTACAAAGTTTTCATATTTTAGTTTTTCCACTCATATGGAATCGGTTTGTCCGAACCGGTTCAATCAATCCGATCGATTTATGGCTCTACCCATGAATGCTTTGGGTTTTACTGCTGAGCTTGAAGGTCGGGGCTCTGATCATCAAAAGAAGGATGTATGTAGACTAAAATGAAAGTGATACATAAATGTGAATATCCAAGGGAGCTATAATTGCACATTTTTAGGTTTAATGATGATAAAAAGGAAGAAAAATCATAGGGACAGCTGCATTCAGTGACGAAAGAGTCAGAAATGTTGATAGATTTCTAGTTTGAAATTTAGAGAGGACAGGCATGGGAGGATGGTGATTTGGACCACATGGTTTATGGTTGACGTTCGAAGGAGGGTGGTGAAAAATAGCAGCACAGCAGCAGCCTCCACCGTTGATCACTTGTCGTTATCAATGGCTGCATGTGAACCCGTCCATCATCGCTCTCATTACTCGTTTTATTTTTCTTACCTTGAATGATTTCTTCCCCCTTTATCTTTGCCATCCCTATTTCAATTGGTCCAGCCAACGGCCTAAGCTTCTCCATTACTAGTCACCAAATACCCTAAAAATAATAATAACAGTTATAGAACGCCAACTATGAACATTCGGTGCCTCTTACATTCTAAATTCCAATACAAAAGATACCAAATATACGGCAATTACATCGTTTTGAAATGGCAACTAGAGGTTGATTTAATTCCTGACTACTGTTACCATATAACCTTACGTTTAGTTCATGAAAAAGATTATTACTAAAGACAATAGTTTTCTTATATATATATAACATTAGTATATAACAGATCCATTCAGGCCGTGTAAAATTTTATAGTTTCATACTTTTTTTAATATCATTGGATGAATAGAAATAGACAATTGATATTAGCGGTAGAGAATGAAAAAATATTTACATAAAAAATAAAAATACAATCTCAATCGTCTATTTTCGTTCATCCAATGATTCTAAAATTATATAAAATTAAAAAAAAATTACACTAAATATAAATGATTCTAATTTCCATATATATAAAGATAATACTAGAAGTCCAAACAAGCTAAATAGTAAGTGATTCAAGAAATGAGTGAAAGGCAGGGTAGCTTGGTGTAATGGTCCTAATTCCCATCAATTTCCTCTACCATCATATTCAAAACAACATGATTAATATTTTTTTTCTTATTTTCTATTTCTATTTATCAATTCCTATTTTCTTTGGATATGCATTGAGAAATTAAGCAGCCCATTTGTCATAATTTTTTACATGATTAATATTTACTATTATAAAAATGTTGATTTTCGTTTTCAGGGTAAAATATCTACAAAGAACACCAATCCCAACGTGCCCATTTCATGACCCACATATATCAATGTAAAGTTTAAATTATTTTACATCAATTTTTATATAATTAATATTTTAACGATATAATTTCCGAGAATCTAACAAATTATTAAATTACATGAAAGGAAATGGACAAATAAGGAACCTAACATTGACTAAGACAACCCCTCTCAAAGTATCATATGATTATGTATTATTTGAATAAACAAACATAATATTAATGTAATAATAATCAATCAAAATGATAATTTTATTAAATATCATACATTGGTTATTAAAACATCACACCATTATTATATATATCTTTTAAGCAAAAGTCTTTTCAAGTTTAGATAACAATATAGGAACACAACACAGTAAATTTCCACTCGTTTTGTCTTTCACTCTTCTACATGTGAATTTCCATGTTCATTATAATGAAATTAAAAGCTACTTTGCTCTTAACTAATCCAACTGTTTGGCTAATTAAAACACAAATATATAATATACACACGCGTAAACATTGGCAATATTATGTGTTGACAAAATGATTAAACACAATAATGGCACGAAAAGCAGTTGGATTTGTCTGAAGCTGAGCCAGTCCGACACGTAAAGGATTTCTTTAAATCTGCGAGTCAACACCCATAACGAACTTGCTAATTAAAAATCTTATTGTTTAGGTTGTACTTAAGGATTTGTTGCCCCCCCCCCTTCATTATTATGATTTTCATTAAAAATCTTAAACATAGTTTTACATTCTTTTATATTTTAAACATTCTTTTGTATTTTATATAAATTATTTATTTTTACATCCGATTTTATAATCTCATACTATCTAAAATTTTAATATAGAGGGTATTTCATAATTTGGAGGTCTCTCACGGAAGTTATTCTCAACCTGGCGTTAGGGATAGCCTACTAACTTACATTCCCTTACCCCATTACATATATATATATATATATATATATGTGAATAAGGGTCAACTAATTTTTTTAATATGATTTTCTATGTTCATTCCTCTAATTCAAATTCCTACGTCGTCCTAATGACAAACATCACATCGGTGGGGTAATCGGGTCATACTTGTTGTCTATTTACGATCAAAACTTTGACAAGCTACATAATATGAACCCTGGATTAAGTCGAATATTTTAAGAGCGAAAGAGAATGAATCATCTTCAACGCATCTTTTCCTACAGCAATGATGGCATCAACAAGTTGCACCAAATCGCTTGAATACATGGAAGTATCGAAACGTGGGTATCCATGGAGGCCAAAGAGAACGTTTCCTAAATAAATTAAAAAAAGGATGGAAATGGAAGAAGAAGAAGGAATAGTCATTTTCTGTGTGCCCGACACCCTCTGCCTTGAGTCTTTCACACACTCGATCATATTTATTAGTAATCGTACATCCATTCCATAAACATAGAAGAAGAAAGAAAGAAACTCCCTTTTATTTTATTTTATTTTATTTTATTTTGTATTTTCCTTGTTTTCTTCTATTGCTGCTCCCAAGTAATCATGAGTCCTTGTGCCATCATTACCATCAAAAGCCCTCCCTTCTCTCTCTTTCCTTTTTCATTTTGTTTTCAGATACAAACGCAATTTCCCAGCTATATAACGCTTGTGTTGCTGCACACAACAATCATCTCTTCCAGTTCACTTTTTCTTTTCTTTTCATAAAACAAGAATTTATTAGTATCGTACATCCATTCCATAAACATAGAAGAAGAAAGAAAGAAACTCCCTTTATTTTTTTTATTTTATTTGTATTTTCCTTGTTTTCTTCTATTGCTGCTCCCAGTAATCATGAGTCCTTGTGCCATCATTACCATCAAAAGCCCTCCCTTCTCTCTCTTTCCTTTTTCATTTTGTTTTCAGATACAAACGCAATTTCCCAGCTATATAACGCTTGTGTTGCTGCACACAACAATCATCTCTTCCAGTTCACTTTTTCTTTTCTTTTCATAAAACAAGATCATGTGGGTTAACTCTTCTGGACGTCTTTCCAAGCAACGACATATCGTTCGTGTTCCAAGACTCGACAGGTTAAACTTAAGTTTTCCTTGGTGTTTTTGTCGTTGTTGTGTCTCCGTCTGGTTTCTAATAAGGAGGTTTACTGGTACAGGTTGAGAAGGTTAAGGAAGGGAGCAGCCGCAGGGACAAAGAAGATGGTGGTGGGTGTTGAAACATATATCCAAATGAAGAACTTGAAGCTATATATGGAGAATCAATTCATCATGGAAGCCAACGAGAGGCTGAGAGAGAAAGCTCTGCTCCTTCACCAGGAAAACCAAACACTGTTGGCTCAGCTACAAAACAAGTCCTCTGATACCCAGAATCAACGGTGAGAGGGAACCAGCAACATATATGGGTATATTAATTGTACAAGTCACGGGAAGAAAAGTTAATGGTCAAGGGGGGAGGTGCTTCTTTAGGTTTGGAATAATTTTGTACTGAATAATTATCCTATATGGCTCTAAATCTTCGTTTCCCTGGTGATTACTGAGCCCCATTTTTGGGTTTCATTTGGGTAGGAGCAGAGCCAACACACTTCACCTTGCTATTTCATGCTACTGCTTATCTAATCAACTTTGAACACTGTAATTGAGTCCGCATCATCAACAAAGCAAAACGACCAGTTAAGAGAAACATAACAGCATTTGTTTTTATTAAATAGAGCATGCTATGTTTAGATAAATATTAAAATTTTAACCTACGTAAAATAGGATAACATACATATTTTTTTTATCATTCGACTGCCCACGATGTGAACCCTAGGGTCACCATTTTGGTTGCATGACATTCATGGTAGGCTCGAAAATTACATGAACCAGATCTTTCACTTAAAAATTATAGTGTTCCGATCAAAATTTGAATAAGATTATTTTAATTAAATTAGATCTTCGAGCTTAAAGTACAATTGATTCAAGTTTTGATAATATAATAAAGTTAAATATTTGGTGAAAGAATTTTATCGTATTTATAATTTTATTTTATTTAACGAAATTAATTTATGTTTAAACCATTAGACATTAGACAATGGGCAATAAACACTAATACTTCACCTCTACATCCTTCTCTCCTCTAAACTATATTTTTACCGCCCAATTTGTTTGACAAAATTACCAAAATTCTACCCTTTTCGACGAGGTAAGTGTTCCGAATTGGCATCAACCGACCGATCTTAATGGTAAAAGAATTGATGTTATTCCTTAGGGTCACGGATTCGAACACTAAAAATATCAGGGATACAAACGTTTAATATCAAATGATTGATATTTATTTTTGAACTACCTTGTGCTCCCCCGAATTAATAAAAAAAAGTGTTCCAAATGGCAACCTGAAAACTGGCCTAAAAAAAACCCAAGTTGTGCAAGGGCTGTGTTAAGGCACATGGGCTTAGGCTCTTCGCTGTTGAAAGAGGCAGTCAATCAGAGGCAAGAGCTTTGCATTAAATTCTTCAAGTTTGATCCCTCTCACCCAATGCTCTAGTTTTAGGGGGAGACAAATATGAGTTAGGGGAATGGGGGAGAAGATGAATTCACTCAAGCCCCATCTGTCCCCCCAAGTTCCACGCTCAAATCACCCACATTCAATGGAGGTCAACCTTGGTATCCCCTTAAGACTAAAATTGCACTTTTAGGGAGAAATTATTACGTGCGGCCGTCTTAATATGCGATTAAAAAAAGGCGTTATAGGTTTTATTATTATTAAATAAAAAAAACCGGTAAAAAATTACCAAACATTATTATTTCTATCAGTTTTGTTATTATTTGGCGTTTTACCGGTTTTGTTATTTTTTCTATCGGTTTTGTTATTGTTGGGCACTTTACCGGAAATGTTAAAAAACATTGATGTTTTAAGTAGAAATAATAATGTTTTAGGTAATTGTCCCTCTCAACTTTGATAGTTTAATTAGTTTTAGGTCCCTAATATTTTTTAAATCATTATAATTAAGTCATTGACCCTCCCAAACTCACTGGTTTAATTATATTTTAAGACCCTTTTAGTTTTAAAATGATATTTGAGTTTTAATTTTTTTTGGTTTAGTTACATTTTAGAACCCTTTAATTTTAAAATTAGTGAAATTAACTCATAACTTATTTAAATTTTATGGTTCGTTTATTTCAAATTAAACAACTTACCCTCGTAATTCAATCCTGGCTCCGCCCCTCTTGGACCCCTATATTCCCCATCCTATGCTGCTCCTTTCTAGCTGAACTTCAGTGCTGATGCTCTCTTGGTCTTCTTTCTTTCTGTCTTATGTCAAAGAATTTGATTTATTACCAAAAATGGTTGATTTAAGCAGTAAGCAATTTAATATCACTTAAGTAATATCTCGAGCTTGAGTATTTGTGTTTGTAAAAAAACTCTACTGGGATCCTCACCCACCAAAACCATGTATGAAACGCGGATTGATCCTGATTAGTCAAGATGAAGCCTTGGAACTATTAGTGCAACCAAATAAAACTTCATTTTATCATGTTTTTCATGACCATCTTGCACCTCTCTTTTTGAGGGTTTATGTGGCTATTTATGTTTGATTTCGTTTAGCTCTTGTATGGTAGTATTCCGCCGGATTATGTTTCTTTTAAGTTTGAACCTTTACTACAGTGTAATAAATAGGTCTGGGTACTTTTTTTCCTTTTGGTTGTTTTGATTAACCCTAATTTAATCAAGTTATGAAAAGGATTTTTAACTAGGCTTATGTTATCGTTCGAAGAAAATATTATAACAGTGACATGGAAGATATATACATAAGGAAAAATCACCCACTCGAAACGAGGATTGTGATTCGCCGATTGGGTTTTTGTTTTAGATGAATTTGTATATTCCATTTCGAAGAAAAGAAGATATAGAAAGTGAGGTTTATACATGCAACAGTTTGAATGAAAGTAACAACGAAAAAAAGAAAGAAAAGAGCTACAAAGATTGAAAGACGAAGGAAATTTAGGGTTTATCTTATCCCTATCAGAACCACCTAAAAGTGAGTTTGCATGCATGTGCATGTACAACTAAGGATTAATGAGCTAAAATTATAGAAACCGGTGGCGGATCTAGAAATAATTTTGAGGGTACAGACGTGTCCACCTTGAGTCATGAATGGATCCGCCACAGAAACTAACATTAATTAAGCGCACGCATCTGATATTGATGAACGCAGAAATTTGTTAATTAAAAGATAATAAATGGTAACTCTAATCTATACAAACAACCAAGGAGGATATAAAACTTTATATACAAAGAAGAGTACTGAATCAAGAATAAAAGCAAACTGTTAGTTTATTATTCTATTATAACAAGTAGAAACAAACATGAACTCACCTGCTGTAATTGATTCAGTCCATGCCACTTTACAAGTATAGTGGGCAGTGACATTTTTTTGTTGTTGAGAAAGATGAAACTTTAACGCATGAGGAGCAGACTCAATTTGTCCTGCATGCTTCTTTACTCATGTTGTTGGCTTGGCTTTTTTACATGGAAATTATACAAGGAAATGGTTACCTCGAAAAGGAGCTTCCTTCTTTATCATACGCACCAGCGCACGTGTAACCGGACAAGCTTATTCCATTATGAAACCAACCATTATCAAAGCAAGAAACAAAAAAAGACACCAAAACCCTAAGCCCATAACCTCCCATCTCCTTTGCCTTTCTTCCAACTCATTACTTTTAAAACAAATTTCTGAGACAAGAAAGAGTGAGAGAAATGACTGCCATGCTTCTACCTTTATAAAAATTCAACTGGAAGGGAGAGATAATCCAGGAAATTTGTACATTCTTCTTCAAACTACTTCAAATTAAAGCCATGGCGATCAAAATCTTTAATACTTCACTTAAACATCAACTATTTTATAAAAGAGTGATAAAAAAACAAACAAAGCGGAGAAAGAAGAAATTTTCTGTGTTTTTTTGTTAATAAGGGGTGTGACCTGTGCCCCAGTAGGCATCAGCTGGCATTTGGACTGAATTTAGAAGATTTGGTGGCAATCCTTGAGCAAAAGATCCATTGGGATCTTGCAGTAGTTGCGGCTGTTGTTGTTGGGAAGCCATGCTTCCCGATGACCCTAAGGTTCCACTTCCAGGAATTGGAGGCTCCACTGGCTGTTCTTCTTCCTCCAATGGAAGTCTTTCATACGCCGCATTACCGAAAGAAGCTGCCATAATCACCACCGGACCCGAAGCAACGAGTGGACCCATCGCGGTCCCTCCGACTACTTGACCTTGACCACCTGCTAAATATATGGCCAATCCTGATGCAGCCGCTGGTGCCGGAGGAGGTAAAAACGACCCAGAAAGTGATAAAATTTCGAATCTTCCATGTAAATTTACCACTGCACCCGGAGCTCCAGGTTGCTTCAAGTTTACATTCGTTACGGTTCCGCTCCCACTCAAAATGCAAACCCCTCTTTGTTTCCGCCTGGCGAAAGTCGAAACGCTCTCCATAATATCACAGCCGGTGGCGACTTCCATAACGTGGGACCGGAGAGCATTGGCGCTATCCCGGGTTATGATTATTGGCGGCTTAGGCTTGTTCTTGGAACCGGCGGGCCTGCCTCGTGGTCTTCTTGCGTTTTCAGCTTCGGAAACGGCCAACACCTTGTCTCCACCCGTGTCGGTTGTTTCAGCGGTAGCTGTTTCTTCTCGATCTCGTTTCTGGCCACGGTTTTGTTCGTCTTCGGAATTCTGTTGCTGTTGGTGGTGATGATGGAACTGATGGTGCGGGTTTAGATGAAGATCTCTAGCGAGGAAAGAAGGAAGATGGCGGCCATGAGCTGTTATCGGATCCATTTCTGTTCTTCCCTTCAAAGTTCAAACCTGTTCATCAACAACTTGCTAACACGTACAAGAACCAGCTGAATTTCGATGGATCAAAAGAAAAAAAAGAACTGTAGGGTTTCTATTCTTGTTCCCTTCACTTACAGGGTTAGAACTTTGGGGTTTACTCTTTACCGTTTGCTGGGTACTTTGAACAGCTACAGGTTTCACCAAAAGAGGGAAAGAGAAGAGATTTGAAGCATCGACCACCAAAATTTAAGCTGAATCAGGCTATCCATCTATCTTCTCTGTACTGGTTTTCATGTGAGTTCATAGGTAGTTCATGGAAGTGGTCAGCTTGTCTTGTAAAGAAGATAAGTTTTGGTTAAGGGTTTGGAAGAGAAAGGGTACGAGAGTAGCCAACAATGGCAGAGAGAGAGGGGGGGGGTAGTTTATGGGTTTAGATCTGAGGCCTGTTGTGGTCAAAGGTGTTGTGGGTTAGGGTTAGACCATCATATCCATGATCACTCAATTTTGCTTTATATGAAAATCCAACTTAATAAATTTATATTTTGATTTAACTATGAAAACATTATAAATTTAAAAGAACTCTAATTGAAAAGAGTTCACTATATTCATGTGTGTATATTTTCCTTAAAATAGTGAATAAAAAATTGAAAATGAATAAAATAAAAATATAAGAAACAACTTACCTTTTTTTATAAAAGGGGTAAATGTTTACATATTTGTGCTTTATTCATTAATATTACATATTTTTCACAACATTTGGTGCATTCATATATGTGTGGATGGGGTTTAGCTTTGGTAAAAGACAGCGTGATGTGAGCATGGGCGGTGTTGTGGCTCTATAAATTTGAGGATGGGTCCCAACCCCCCACGTTCTCATCTCTTTCTCTCTTATCTCATAAATTAAGGCTAAATTACATAACTGACACCGTTTGTTTTTAATTTTACTTTTCTAACACCGTTCGACCAATATTTCCAAAACTAGCACCCTTTCTGCTGAGTTGGCAAAGGCGCGTCCCCGGGGACGCGCTTTACCCGTGTTTTCGCTGAGTTGGATGCCACGTGTGAAAGGCGCATCCCCGGGGACGCGCCTTTGCCATATCAGCAGACACGTGTGGAAGGCGGATCCCCGGGGACGCGCCTTCCATTAAATGTCATAAATGCCCCCATCCGTTTTTCCTAACTACCCCTCCTCCTCCCCTATATAAACCCCCTCAACCCTCACTCATTCTTCACACCAAAATCATCTTCTCCTCTCTTATATAACTCAAATTCTCCAACTATTTGAGTTTTAAATGTTATTAGTGGTAAGAAATTTATTTTTATGTTAGTATTTTTTTAAATAGTTATTAGTTTTTATATTAATATTTATGTAAATTATTTTTTTATTAAAATAATATTTATATAATTATTATTTATTTAGAATTAATTTTTTTTGCTAATTATATTGTTTGTCTACAGTAATGGAAAACGAAATGCTGTTGCGATTGGATATTGATCATATCTCCAGACATTTTAGCGATATGGTCATATTTTTATAATTAATGTTAAATTTAAATTTATTTTTATTTTAAAGTTATTATGAATTTATATTAATTTTTACTTTTATAATATATATTATTTAGGATGCTGATCGTATTTAGAAACTTTTATTAAAAATCCACGTATACCGACACCGGAACGTATTTTGCCATATTTAGCTTCTGCTGGGTTCGGTATATTGCAAAATTATAGGCGGTTGCAAACTCGAATCTGTCCTAATTTCTGCACTGATTGAGAGGTGGAGGCCCGAGACACACACTTTTCACCTCCATGTGGAGAGGCAACAATTACATTGGAGGATGTCTCTATGCATCTGGGGCTTCCCGTCGACGGAAATATGATGTGTGGTATGGCGGATGGGATTGGCAATCAATGTGCATTGATTATCTTGGAGCTGCTCCGCCAGAGTTTAATGGAGGTAGAATAGCTTTATCTTGGTTGAAAGCTAATTTTGAGGTTTTAAATGAAAATGCTTCAGAGGATCAAGCAAAGGCATGTGCTCGGGCATATATTCTACGATAATTGAGGAATATTGATGCCCGACAAATCTCGCAACCAGGTGTATTATGTGGTTGCGGCATCTGATCGATTTTGATGAAGCTGGAAGATATAGTTGGGGTGCTACAGTTTTGGCATTTCTCTTTAGAGAAATGTGTCGGGCGACGAATTATAAGAAAACTGCTATCGGTGGTCTTCTACTTCTACAATCATGGGCGTGGTTCCGCATGCCTTCTTATGCCCGATCGTGAATGAACCATACGTATTCCCCTTATTGTTGAGGTGATTTTCGAACTAAATTTGATTTAAATATTTTCAATTAAATAGGTGATATTTAGTTTATATTATATTTCATAGGTGGTCGATGAAAAGAAAGGACCATAAAAGTATACCTCTGGGTTAGAGGAAATTCGTTTACTTATTGATACGAAAGCTGGGTCTGAGGTATGTTTTTAAATTTGTTAATTATTAATTTTTAATTAAAATATTAGATAATTAGAATATTTATTTATTTGAATTGTATATTTATATTTCAGTTTCAGTGGATACCTTATGCGAGCGATGAAGTGAAAGCTTGCATCCCACCCCACCTTATGGGTCATTAGAGGTATGGATATCGGTTATACCTCTTATATGTTATGCTATTATTGAGTGGCATCCAGTTGATCGCGTGCCTCCGTCGTATGGTTTGTACGCAATATATTCCTGGAGCCTAGAAATTTAGACGACGTGCATAACATAGATAGACGGGAAAGAAAGATGTTAACTGGGTGGTGAGACACAGGATTGGATTGCGCTTTGGGAGAACCGATATACACTGTTGGCCCTCGACATATTACGCGAAACTGGTCATATGGTTACGATAACTATATGGACTGTTTAATGAAAATGGGAAGCCGTTTCTACTTTCGGCGGAAGCACGAGGGGTTAACATTCCTAGGCGCCGAGAAAGAACGTCAACCGTCTCATATCATCGTCCCCCGACGCGTGGACGGAGAGAAGGCGCTACCGGTTCTGCATCATTCCCACCACAACATCCTTATTCGTCGATGCCGCAGGGGTAATGCCCAGCCCTCCACTTCATATGCCAAGCCCACCAGTTTATATGCCATCTCCGCAGGGTTACATTCCGAGCCCGCAGGGTTACATTCCTAGCCCGCCAGGTTACATGCCTAGCCCGCCAGGTTACATGCCTAGCCCGCAGGGTTTTATACCATATGGAGGTGCATATACGACTATGTTTAATGACCAGCATATGCTTCATATGCATCTTATTTGGCTGGTGGTGCTTCTCCGCAGACACCTCAATCTTCATCTGGATCACATACATCGATGCCAATGTTTCCACAGTTTCCACAGTTCCCGGGAGCGGTGGGATTGTTACTAGCACTCCTCCAGGGTCGTTATTTTATACAGGCCCTTCAGCCCCTTCAGCGTCATCTACACCAAATGAAGAAAATGCTGCTGATGATGATAGTGAAGATGAGGAGACTGAAGAACAAGTTCCACGAAGAAATCCTCCACGAAATAGGCAACCACCGCCATGTGGAACTCATTCGAGAAGACGACATCGGTGATCCAGTTATATTTAATGTTATTTAAATAATTAAATTTCAGAATTTTATGTAATTTGGTTATGTTATTTAAATGTTTCATGGTTGTTACATACATATTTTTTAATGTTATTTTTATTCACATTTAACATTAAATGTTTGATAAATGTTTTTAAAATACAAATTTATTATTCGAAATTTAAAATAAAAATAAAAATAATATATTCAAATTTAAATTTAAAATATAATTATAGTATTCGAAATTTAACATTAAATTTCAACTTAATATTCCAATTGTATTCGAAAAAAGTTATATTCCAATTATAGTTCACAATACTTAAATTGAAATTAAATTTATCCATACATATGATTTTATCATTAACATATATTAAAACGTATACATTAAAATCAACTTATGTTGAGTTCATCGATCGACGGAATCAACCAAGAGGGGGTGAATTGGCAATTTATTCAATGTCACATTTCAATGCTCATTCCATACAATTTCAATGTCACAATCAACTTATCACTTCACATTTATTCAATTTATCCATAACATTTTATCTAATTTATTCAAACTTCACATAACGTTTTAATTTAAGTTATTCTTAACTTGTTGAACTTTCAAAAGAAGTTAAATTTAAGTTATTCCCCGAGGGACATGAGTGACATAATAGGGCAATGATAACATATTCTCTGACGAAATAATGGAAGGCGCGCCCCGGGAACGCGCCTTCATGTGAATAGTGAATAATAGGTACTGATATATCTAGTGTCCCCGAGGGACATGAGTGACATAATAGGGCAATGATAATATTCTCTGACGAAATAATGGAAGGCGCGCCCCGGGAACGCGCCTTCATATGAATAGTGAAATATAGGTACTGATATATCTAGTGTCCCCGAGGGACATGAGTGACATAATAGGCAATGATAATATTCTCTGACGAAATATGGAAGGCGCGCCCCCGGGAACGCGCCTTCATGTGAATAGTGAAATAATAGGTACTGATATATCTAGTGTCCCCGAGGGACATGAGTGACATAATAGGGCAATGATAATATTCTCTGACGAAATAATGGAAGGCGCGCCCCCGGGAACGCGCCTTCATGTGAATAGTGAAATAATAGGTACTGATATCTAGTGTCCCCGAGGGACATGAATGACATAATAGGGCAATGATAATATTCTCTGACGAAATAATGGAAGGCGCGCCCCGGGAACGCGCCTTCATGTGAATAGTGAACCGATTATAGACACTATTATATCAACGTATTATAAACTTTCAAAACAAACTTCAGTTCACAATCTTTCAAATTCTCAAATTCCCAAACTCTAAATTCTTAATTCTCTGAAATGAGTCGTCTTTCTGCTGTTGTTTTGTATGATGGAGAAATTAAGGAAGCTGAAGGGGGTTGTTTTTGAGTCAGATCATTATATCCCCTTAACCTTGAAGAGAAACATCACAATTGAGGAGTTAATCACAAAATTTCGTTAAAGATTCGTGTAGCAGGCCAGAGAAGACTATCTTCACTTCAATACAGATTTCCTACTAAACTTTTTCCGCTCACGTATACATCATTTCAGCTTTCAAACGATGATGATGTTTCTATGATGGTTGATGCTCATATGGGGAGTTCACAATCTCTTATTGAAATGTATGCCACTTTTATTGAGGTTCGTGTAACTCGTGGTCTCTCATATTCCTCTCACTTTGGCATTGCATATCAAACTGATCAAGTTGATAGCCCGACAACTTATCTGTAATGATTTCACATCATTAATGGCGGATCCAACGCCATATACCATGCCATCAAGTTCAATAGGAAGGCATTCATCTGCAACTGCTTATGATCTCAACCCACGT